TACAAAGATTACTTCCCTCTGTAATTAACTTAGATGTAATTTTTTAAATAAATTTCTTAGGAATGTTTATATTTTTTTATATCCCTTTTAAGTAAAAATAAAAGAATAAATATTAAATTTATTAGTATTATATTCTCAATTTGAAGTTGATTAATCCAATTTGAAGTTGATTATTTCTCATTTTGAAGATGATTGATCCATTTTGAAGTTGATTGATCCATTTTGAAGTTGATTAATTTTTTTACCTGAAAATAAGTCCATTTTGAAGTTGATTTTTATCATTTTGAAGTTGAAAAGTTTCATAATCAATTTTTGACAGCATTATCTCCCAAAATGAGTTCCATGAAATAATTTCTCTAAAAAAAATGGAGAATACCATTTTCTAAAGAATAAATTAGAGGTTTATATGAAGAATAAGTATCTTGAATTTGATTCAAATTCTCAGTTGACATTAGTTGCCAGGTAATAAATCAGCATTCTTACTGAAATGTAAACAAATTTCTCAGTAGTGTGTGTCTGTTTGTTTTTTTAGCAACATATTTTTTAAAATAATTTTGAAAAAGTTTTTATAATTTAATAAAAATTGTACATAAGCTTGTTTTGATTAAATTAAATATATCAAAACTTTAAAAAAAAAAATATATATTGTTTTTTTGGTATGTTTTCGATTCATAATACCGTAGTTATATTAGTCTTCCTCCATTGTTGAATTTCCAAAGGAAAGTAAAGTCTTTATGGATTGAAAGCACAACATGCAAAGAACAGATATTGTTTTTTCTATTTTATGGAAAAAGTCTATCGAACTTTAGATAAGAATGGTGAAGCTCAGGCTGGTACTTTGAACATCTCAAAAGCATTCAACAGCGTTTATCATACCGGTCTTCTTCACAAGTTGAAAAGTTTTAGTGTCTCTGGATGAACTTTTTTTTTTTTTTTATTCATTCTTTCTTATAGTGAAATGAAAGTTATCCTGAATGGTCACTCTTCTAGATTATTTTGTACTAATGCAGGTGTCTCCCAGCACTCTATCCTTGGTGCTATTTTGTTTTTAATTTTTATTAATGACATTCTTGATGGCATCAGCTCTCAACTTTGTATCTATGCTGATGACACAACCATTTACTCCTGTTTCAATACTAAGTCTAACCAGTTCAATAAGGTCAAATTGCCAGCTGATCACAAATTTTTTGAATTTAAGCACAATAGATTAGCAACAAGGTCTCATCAATTTACAGTTGAATTATCTAGATGTAACTGTAAGTTCTATGCTAACAATTTCTTTTCTTGCACTTCTTGCTTGTGGAACTCTCTTCCGGCTCTATAGTTAGCTTTGAGCTTCAAAAATTTAAATGCAATGTCAATTGTTAACTATAGTCTGCCTGACTATTCTTCAATTGTTCTCACTCCTTAGTAATGTTTGTTTTCTAATTCTTTCACACTCAGTAACACCTTGTGTCTTAGTGGCTTTACTGACTTGCTTGGGGTAAATCCAATTAAAACAAATAAATCTGTTCTTTTTATTTTTGTAAAACTAAGTTTGCTTTGATTAAATAAAATTTTGCTTAAATTCTACCTACCTTTTCATTAATAATTCATTTCTTTCTTTTTTTTAAATTTTTTTTTTTTTACATGAAATTTGTACATTTTTCTGTAGAAATGCTGAATTGTCAACTGAGAATTTCACTAAATGAATTTAATGCAAAATTATATTTTGAAAGAACATTTGAAAGTCATAACAATTCTAAAAGTTTTCTATAAAAAGAATTAAAACTGATAACAAAAATACAACAGAATCCTCATATAAAGTCTGTTAATGCATTGTTCTTGCTAGTGAGGTGCATATCATTGGTGAATTGCTGATTAAACTTTATGTAAAAGATATTGTGTGTATGTTGGACGCAAATTTTGTGAAAAGTTAGTAGCTGTGTCTCTTTCCAATGTTACTGCATCAAGTTCTCTTAATAATACAATTAGTGACATTAAAACAGAACTTATTTTGTGAGTATATGTATTGACACTTATACATGACAAATCAATACATCCAGAGATTTTGCTAAGCTGGCAAATTGACCTATTTTTGCTTGATATGACTTCAAGAAAATATCTAAGATGATTTAATTTTATGTCACAATTTTCAACAGTTAACCTCCAAGAATTTACATATTCAATTCTGTCAATAATTTTGTGAAAATGCACAATATAAGCTGGGATAAATGTATTGCAGTATGCAACAATAGAAGAAAAGCAGTGGAAGTAAAAATGGCTGTAAAATGAATTGAAAACATTAAAAAAAAAAAAAAAAAAAAGTAATCACTACATTCTTTAGATATGCTTTTGTTGCAAAAAAAGATTTAAGGTCTTTTTACATGAAGCAGTGCTGGTTATAAATTTCAATTGCATTTTTATTTTTTTAAATTTTAAAGTTTTATCTGAAGATATAGGCTTCATGGTACTACATAGAAAAGTTATATGACAATCATAGAATAATATTCTTGTGGGGAAAGTTTGAATTGTAGAAAGAACTGTTGATATGTTTAATCTATCATAATTTTTGATTATTCAACAGGTTAACAAACATGCCATGGCTCTCAAGAATTGCATACTTATATTTTTGCAAAATTGAATGAATTGTGTTTATTTCTGCAATAGAAAGAAGTGAATCTTTTCAAGCCAAAAATAAACTGGTATCATTATGATGTAAATTGCAATACTTGATCTCAGCTGTGGAACAAAATACCTTTTTTGACTGTTTTCCAATGTTTATCACTTTTTCAAGAATCTGAACTGGATTCAGAGGTTGAAAATTTGAAATGATATTAGAAATCATTTTTGTTGTGACTGATTATAATTAGAATCACTAAGTAGTTTCCAAATTTGAAGAAGAAAAATAATTATTGAATAGAAAGTCCATTCAAAGTTCAAGAAGATCCCACAGGATTTCTGACAATGGATTATGAAAATTTAATTGAAATTAATTCAGATATTCAGTTAAAGACTAAATTTGAAGGACTTCTGATAGCAATTTTCTGATACAGTATATTTGACAAAATATCCAAATTTATCAAAACAAGTTATTCAAGTTCTCATAGTTTACCACAATATATTTATGTGAATATAGCACAAAAACTATAAATAGACTGGATGCTGCACCTAGATAAGCAATTTCGTTTATCCAATAGAAAAGCAAATTTGCAGAAAATACTGGAAGCTGCAAAGCACTAAAATTCTTTATATTAATCTTAATTTAATAAATTTAGTGCAACAGTTGATTTTATTTTAGTGCTTAATTTGTTTTTTATATAAATAAATTTTTGCACTAAAACAGTTTTTGTTTCATTTTATATTTCATCAAAATTATAATAGTGCCAGAAGATATTTAAAAGTAGTTCCTTGATTTTTAACTACTGTTTTATAGAAAGTGATGTTCTTGGTATAGCTGAAGAGTTATTTCCCTTTACATGTCCAACTTAACTTAATCATATGAACTTTCTGATCAATAAAACTAGCATCTAGTTATTTTTATTACATTTATAATCATGTCATGATTGTAATGTAAATTAATTTACAAGTAGAAAATAATTTTTTTGCATAATTATTTTATGTTGTTGTTAAAAATTGATTTTTATATTGTTTACTCTTGTATTTCATGAATATGACTATCATTGCTTATAAATGTTACATACAAATTAAATAAAGATGTTTATATTTTTTTTATTAGATATATGCTTAACCCCATGCAATTCTTCTTAAATACAGGTTAATTGCTTCTGTACATGAAGGTACAGATGTTTTTTTTAATTACTGCCTCTGCATACGAATCAGGTTGGTTGGTTGTACTAAGGAGCACAGTTGTTTCTTTTTGTTAAATATTTTCTTTGTTTCAGGTTAGAGAATCAAATATTTAATAACGTATATAATATTTATTACTTTATATATAGCATGCACCAATCTGAAATAGACTGTTTAAAATTTACATTTAAGTGAATTCATATTGTAAAAATATGCTTTTTTTTTTTTTTTTGTAAATTTTACATAGATTTTTTATAGGCTTTTGTATATTGTATGTGACACTAGAGAAATATATTAGAATTCAAATTAACTGAAAATTAAATTTAAAGCTTTCTTCAAAACAGGTCTATTTTCTCGCATTGATCCAATAAGACTTTTTGTTTAATTTTTTGCTTACAATATTTAGTATTTGCTTTGTATTAAGAAATCATTAAATGAATTGATAGCATTATCAAAATGTTTTTTGTGTAGCATTTTGATTGATTTTGTTTTCTCTAACAACATCTCAATATTATAATTATTTTTTATATTAGTAAAGAAATAGTAAAATTATTAAATATCACAAATATTTTTTTTACTGATTATGTAGCAATGTGAAATTAGATAACTTAGGAAATTCAGAAAACAGTATGTAACTAATTATGCAAGCTATATAACAATTTTCTGTTACAAAAACAATTAATTACACTATTTACATTGTTTGGATCATTGTCCTCATCTTTAATGTCACATTCACAACATTTTGGCTGTTGTATGCTTCAGTCTTCTTCAGGTGATATTTATAGGGATTTTAAACTGAATTCTTTATCAAGGCAAATTAACTAAAACAGAGATATCCAAAGTAAATAAAGGGTTCAGTTTGAAATTCCGACAAATGTCATCTGAAGAAGGCTGGAGTGTAAAGCAGCCAAAATGTTGTGAATGTGACAATGAAGATGAGGAAAACAGTCCAAACAATGTAAATAGTGTAAATAGTTACAATACCTCATCTTATAAATATAGACAAAAACAATTATATCTCAGGTTATTGCTTTATACATTGAAATGGGTAAAATTCAATAATTTCTTAATTTGTGCATCAGTTTTGTATTTTACTTGGTCATCTTGATGCATTAACAGGTTTGTAAGATTGTTAATTCTCTAATTGTAGTTCTTGAAGATTTAGTTTCTTTGTTTTACATTATTTATTCCTTTCCCTTTTTGTTTTTCAGAAATATAAACCCTTCAAAGGTGTTAAATATGTCACAAAAGCTGGAAAGTTTCAGGTGCGGACATGATGAAGAAATAATTTAAAAAAATAATTTGTTATTTTTTCAATTGTGTATCTCTTTGTTTTTTTTTTTTCTTTTTCTTTTTTGTTTTTTTAAACCATTGTCTGGCAATGAAAAGAAGAAAAAAATGATTTTCTTTCTTAAAGAATGACTTTAATGTCATCTGACTTGAAGTAAACTAATTCAACATGATACACTAAACTTACTGCATTCAACTGTGTGCCATGTATGTCTTCTAACTGAAAGAAGAGATCCCTGATGATTTATGTAATTGTTCTGCAGATAAGCAGAATGTATAAACACATTTAGTCATTTCTGTTATAAAATAATTGTTTCATTCCTGTGTGATATCATACTATAAAAAAATAAAAAACATGAAACTAAAATATTCTTGGAGGTATAGAAAGAGTGCAAGTTCGAGAACATCATCAATTTTTACATAAAATATAGACAGGAATTAAGACAATACCAATGTTTGAATTAGTACAATGAAATACTTAATATCAAATTGAATAAACTACACTGAAGATAATAGTGATGATAGGGAATAGCTTGATTGAAGTGATTCAATTTTCATCTGTTTAATTAAGCAGATTATTAAATTTGAATTTTCATATTAGCATTAAAAATTAGTGTGAAAGTTTTTGTTTCTAAAAATATAATTTTCATCATTTTCTTTCCTTTTTTTTTTTTTTTTTTCAAATTTTTTTCATGTAGCTTTAAAATATTTTATATGACCAACATACATTTGCAAACAATAGCGTCCAGGGAAATCTGAATTTGTGTTCAGGCAAGATATTCAGTGAAAGAAGTAACCTTTTAAATAGCCTCTCTGTCATATGTAATCAGAAGCAGCTCCTCGCAAATACATGTTTAATTAAAAGAAATTGTTCATTTTGTTTTTGTTTAGTAATTTCTGGAATTTTTATTGCATACTGAAAATAAGTAAACATTTAACATTTTGGTTCTCCCTCATGCAAATGATGAAAATCCATGAAAATGGATGAAGCACATCTGTAACATTTGACAAATAAATTGGGTTCTAAATTATCTTATTAGTGTAAATATATAAAACTAATTCCTTCAACTAAACCTTTTTATCAAAGTATTATTTTAAAAAAAGTATCATAAACTAATTCTTTATATGATTAATAAATATATTAAATATAGAAAATTTATGATTAAAAATGTATTTCTGAAGATAATTTTGTTTTTGGAAAATTGGTTGGTTTGTTAAAATGACAGTGAGATGAACTCATTGATAGAATAGCACCAACTGAAAAATGCTCTGTTCCTTTTCCTTATAATATACAGATTCTAGAATTAAGAAATTAAAAATGATGGTCAGTTTAAAATACAAGCATAAAAAAAAAATAAAATAAAAGAAAGTCAAATGCTTTTAAGCACTACAAAATATATATTTTTCTGCTGTCATATTTGCTGAAAATGATAATCATTGGAAAAAAGTTTTGGTATTAAATCTGATGCATTGAAAATCATTTGCATTTCTTAATGACATTTTATTCATGATTAATTCACATACATACACACACACACACACACATACATTATATATATATATATATATATATATATATATATATATATATATTTCACCAACCTATTTGTGATTATCTGTTCTATGATGACTTCTATAATTCCATAGCTGTAACCTGGATAATGAGATGAATGATTTATTGATTCAATGAATGACTGATGTACAATAAAATGTTATATACACTGATGAATTAAAGAAATTTCACTGGTTAATTTTTTTGAGTTCTTTTTGTAAATTAAAAATTTGTTCTGATTGACTTTGTTTTCTGACAAATTTAGCATGTTTAATGTTATATGATGTTTCAAGATTATTGATCGTTTATAAATATGGCTGAGAAATAGCTAATTTCTTTTGAGAAAAGTTCTTTCTTTAAAAGGATTTGACAAAAATCTTGATTTGACAGATTTTTTTTGTCAGCAAAGATATTTAACCAATGGAAAATCTTTTCATATATATATATATATATATATATATATATATCAAAATGCAAACTGTTCATGTAATAAAAAAATAATTTTATTTTACTGTTGGTAACTTTTAGTATGGGAAAAAATATTGGTAAAAATAAAATATTCTGTTTTTAATAAATTAGAATCTATGATGAATAAAAATGCTGTTTGGATGACAATATTCTATAGACCTGAATTTTTATTTTTTTTTATTTTTTTTTTTTTTATTATTTTTACAGACTTGTTATTTTGAACCATCACATGTTAATATGGAATATTTACACACACCCATACAATCATTAGCCAGGCAAGGTTACATTTTGGAGTCTATATAAATACTTGAATTAATGCATGTAGAGAAGTTTTTTTTTTTTTTCGTGAAGCTTACAATATTGACTCATAAACTTCTCCCTTTCTTTCTTGTTCTCTCTAACACTTATCTAACGCTTAGTTTCTCATAATGCATTGACATCTTTTGTATTAGTACTACATGTGTCACATTTATTTTTTACAATATTAATATTTGCTTCTAATGAGTGTCAACTGAAAAAGGCTTTCAAGGGATGGAGAAAAAAAATGAAAATCAAATGTGCTAATTAATTACTGCTACCTTGAACTTCATATATACCATATGTAATAGTAAGTTTATGTGTAAATCTAGCCAAATTCATCTCTCTTAGCATTTAGTCCTTTTTGGCACTACTTGATCTTAACCCTCTATTAGTAGTATTAGTAAAATGAAGTGTTCATAGTTAGTCATTATATTACTTCACCATTTATATTGTGTGGGTATCAACCAAATATAAAATAAACAACATGGTGTAGGTGCAGTTCTAAACACCAACCTTTGATTCTATATTTAAGGTTTGATTACATTCATATGTACATTTATTAAGAGAGTCAGTTATTTCCATAACTAAAACCTGAAGAAAAAATTGAATACAATTATTAAAAGTAGTATTTCTTTTATTTTAAATGTGTTGATTGAAAAACAATGCATATATACATAATTTTCTGGTCAAAGTACCTCAAAGAATTTTTTTTTTTTTTTTTTTATAACAAGATTTGGAGGAAGACCTAGATTTTCATTTATTTTTTTAGAGCTTTAGGCAAAGAATGTTTTAGATTCCATAAGTAAAACCTTTAAACTTCATCTTCAGAAAAGAGAAATTTAGCTTGATAAATTTCAGGCATTTTTTGCATACAATGTATTAAAGTTTAATTTATTTCAGAAAGTTATGTGTCAAGAAATTTGAAAATTTGTTTAGATTGTAATTCGATTCAGAATATGTTTGTGTTAATTTCCAAAAAGAGAATTTTATAAATACAAAACAAAGTTTTCAAGAGATGATGTGAAACTATTTAGTTTTAACTATATTGAGTTAATCTTTTACAAGCTTTAGCAAAAAAAAAGAAAAAAAACAACTCTTTTAATGATTCTAGAGAGCAAATACTGAAAAAACAAAAATTTCTGTTTTTCACTTAGGGTAATTTTGCCAGTATATATGGATTGCATTTGCTTTTAAATCCTGATGCATTTTTAATGGCTTCTAGAATTTCTGTAGAATTCTTCATGAGTTTTTCTAGTTTGCTCTGTGGATTTTATTTATTTATTTTTTTTGTTAAGTGTTAAAATCCCTTCAGAAAAATAATAGCATGTTCACAATATGGTATAATCTAATTATTGACCTCCATCTTTCATATGCGCAGCATTATAAGTTATTATTTTATTTTTGAACGTTGTGCATTGATTGTGGATTCTAAAAAGTTAAAAAATCCTTAGAATCATAGACTTATATTGAATATATGATGAAAAGTTTTAGTAGTTTGTAAAATCAGAATGAAACAATTGTTCATTAAGTAGTTCTTATCCTTTATAGACAAATCTGTTTATATTTTTTCTTCAAACTCTTTGAATGATTTTCTTTTCCAGCCAGAAATCTAATGCAAGTAACAGATGTTATAATTCAATTTAAATAGAATATACAAGCAAAGACACAATTGTTGTCATATTGATTAATATATATTCAATTGGTTCAGTTATTGTCTTCTATATTGATATTGTATTTTTTGAAAGCATTGAACATTACAATTACAAGAGTAGTCTGAATCTTTGTCCCCCTGATTATTAAGTTGGTTTTTGTTTCATAACAAGGAAAAAGTGAATAATAGAAGGTATTTTGTTTAAGGCGCATTGAAGATACAACATACATGAGAAGAGTACAGAAGATATTAGCTGAAACAAGTTGAAATCCTAAAGATGTTTATATTTGTTTCAATAAGTTATGTAATGAAAACTTAAAGAAAAAAAGAAAATGTTGTTAGTTGTGTTTAATACATAAAAGTATCATATAACCTGCCGTAAATTACCAAAATGATGCAGCAGTATAACTTAGTCTGTTGTGTAAGTGAATATATAATTATAATCATTGGGTTTGACAAGTTAAGTGCACTGGAGAAATAAGCTGAAAAAATATTTTTCTGAATTGTGGTATGCTTTTAAGTGTGTACTCTTATAGATTTTTTCTTCATTTTCTTAGCCAGTAAGAATGACATGATTTATTATCATTCCTTGTATGTGATCCCATTTGACTAAGCAACACCATAGAAACGTTATAAATATTGCATGTATATACTATCATATTAACGAAACTATTAAATCTTGTGAATTCAGTTATACTGATCATTGTTTATATGTAATGAATAATACTGGATTTTTATAGTTCAAGACATTCTATATGAAATTTTTTTTTTTTTTAATTCTCTGTTCAGACATTTTGTAATTCAGATATATTGTACTCCTGACCCACCCACGAGAGACAGAATGAAGAAATTTCTCCTGCCTGCACAAAGTTGGTTGATGAAGCATGATATGAACAGCATCTAAAATACGTAAATGTTTAGCCGCCTAAGCTTTGTGTAGTACCCTAAACGCTTCATTAGAATATTACAAAGTGCAAACTGGGTTGTTAATCAAATGAGTCCAATCGCTGACTCGTGAACTGACTGAGTCAATCCAGGATTTTAGTTAATATCTTAGCTCTGGGTCCAGTGATTAAAGCAGTGCAATGTCAGAAGTCTTTCATTACAATTTATAGCACACAGGTATCATAGATTTTAAATGATTAAAGTTAAGATCAAATTATTGCATTGGTTTTTGAAATTGGTGATGGAAATTTTAACTTTGTACCTTTAAGATGAGACAATGATCTATCGTCAAAAACTGCAGTGAATTTGTTTTGATAAAAACTTTTAAATTCCATTGCTGACCTTTTTCTAAGTTTTCATATAAATGTAGAAAAGTAAAGTTTACTTAAATCAGAAAGCAGCAATAAATGTCAATATAAAAAAAAAGATCAGCAAATATTGGCGACCTGATACACCGACTTGCCTTCTTTTTTGTCAAATGAAGAGAAAGTCGCAGATTGTTCTTGAGAAAGCACCCCCCCACTAGTAGGAAGTATAAAATAATATATAAAAAAACAAAAATCTCAGCTGCTGAGGCATCAATTTTTAGCTTTGTTTCGGTTTTTAATTGGGATGCTTCAACTCTGCTGAATGGTCATTTAGTGCCTATTTTGATCTCCCAACCAGGTTCTGTGATGAGAAACTTCATATAGTCACTGGTTTCGTCCAGGAAGGCATTCGCAATAGATGCAGCTACTTCACTGTGCTGTATTCCAACTAAAGATGAATTATTCACTTCCAGAAGTATACTGCCCACCTGGAGGGCTGTGTGTGAGTGGAACGTCGATCCATTACTCTAGAAAGTTAAAATAGTATAGAAAAACATGTAACATTTCAATTACATACACTTTGGTGATCATCTAATATCTGTTCGTTTTTGCTATTCTACAGATCTGATATTTGTCTATATCTCTGAGATGAGGAATTAGGATTACTGTTATCTTTATTGCCATATTCACAATGTTTCGGTTCTTCAGGTGATTGGAATTTCAGATCAAACTCTTTATTTTGTCCACCAGGGTACATTGTTCTAGTTCTACGTGCCATGTCTCTTTTGGATGTCTCAGTTATTTCCCTTTAACTCAACTCTCTAAGTTTGGTTCACAACTGCTGAACTCACAACTCTTTGGGTCTAGTTACTGGATCTAACCAGCGTCTTTCTCCACTGGGCTATGTTCCCTTGAGGACATCTGTGCATGAATTTTAGGACCTAATGTCACAGCACCACTTCTTTACCAATGCTCATATTGTAATTTTTGTTATTATTGCATTTTTTTTTTTTTTTACCAGAGCTTATATTGCAATTTCTGTTGCAAAGAGACCCAAAGAGTTGTGACCCAAACTTAGTTGAGTTAAAGGGAAATAACTAAGATATCTGGAATAGATATGGCATGTGGAACTAGAACAATCTACCCCAGTGGACGAAATAAAGGGTTCAGTTCAAAATTCCAATCACCTGAAGAAGGCTGGAGTGTACAACAGCCAAAACGTGAATATGGCAAGATGGGGATAACTGTCCGAATAATGTAAGTTTACAGCTCTGTGTATAAATATCAAAATATAAAAATACACTACACTTGGATAAAAAAAGCTAATTTTAACGTGTGTGTGTGCAAAAACGTGTACAAGGAAGTGCTGGAAACCTCTTGGCTACTCCTCTTGCCCAAATTTGGCCAAACATCAAATATTGTTTGAAGGACTTGTTGGTCAGACAAAGAATTTTTCAGTATCTTAAAATTTACAAAATATGTTAAATGATTAAAAACACAACATAGATTTTGTTGGATAGATAATTATTTGCCCTGAGATAAAACTGATATTTTCTTGAGTAATAAGTTGACCAACAAAAAAAAGAATGGCTCTAAAAAATGCATTAAACTCCAAGCATTTTAATAATAAAGATTATCATCATGATGTATCAGCTGGAGAATGTTATGCAAGACATGCCACGGTGTGTTTGGCAGGAACTGGACTACTGACTTGACGTGTGCCATGTCACAGGTTGTGCACATATTGAACATTTGTGAAACTTTGTGAAATCAATTATTCAATGGGAGGTAGATTTTATATCTTTTATTGTTCAACATGAGGCCTATTTAATTTTGCTTGCCTGGGACATGTAGTTATTCAGATATTCACATTTTAAATGATGTCAGTTTTTTGGGGGACCCCTTGTACATTATCCTTAGACAAGCACTGGCCTAGTGGGGATGGGGAATGAATGATTTTTGACTCTATGGGTGACCACTTGCCATTATCCATATAAACTCTGAAACTTGATTATCACAATAATTAAAAATAATAATCTAAAAAAGGAAGATTTCAGAAGCTAGATTAACAGCTACTAAAGGTATGAATAGACAAGGCACAATCTCTTGCCCACCTCCTCATTAGGACCTGTAAATTCTTGTTTCTGTAGCAAGTAGGCTTTTTATGTGATGGAATTGCCAGCCCCACACCAAATCAATTTTTGAATTCAGAGTTATTCCTTTTTTTTGTTTCTGAAAAGTAAGTTTCACTTTGTACAAGGCTCAGGAGCCATTCAAGGTAGAGGGTTACATTAGGAGGCAGTTTGTATGGATAGGAGGGTAAGTTAATGGTTAACTCTATCATTGAACAGGTTGAGATTATAGTGACCAGGGAAACATCTTGGGAGTCAGTTCCACACATCAGTGGTTTGTGGGGAAGACTGTACATGTGGAACTTACTTCACCAATGGAATATGGAGGGAATGTGGGTGGGGTTGGCTACAATGTAAGTGGCATGGTCGGTCCTAGTTGTGAAGGTTAGGCCTGGTGGAAACAAGGAAAGTAGCGATAGTGTAACACGCTGATTCCACATCCCACCTGTGAGAGAGAGGTTGGAGGGTGGAAAATAATTTGTCACCCACAAGAACTCTGATACACTTTTGGGCTCAATCAAAGCTGGAAAGTGTGGTCTGGGCAACTCCTGTCCAAATATGACAACAGTATTCCATTCTTGGCCTGATTTGGTTTTTGTAAAGGTAGAGGATAGCACGTGGAGCGGTCAGGAACCCGACCATTTGACCCGCATCTATAGCGATGACTTGTATGTACGAGTTCTACTTGAGGTCAGGTGTGAGTTTAATGCCCAATAGTCTCTCAAGGCACAGTGCCTCTCCGAGGAGACATCTGTTCATTGTGACTGGTAGTAGTTTGGTTGGAGAACTCACTTTCTCCTGCTGTTTGACCCATATCTGAGTTGGAGGGTGAAGAGATATTCATACCTTTCCCAAGGGTATTTGTGTGAAGGAGAACACAAAGACCTTGGCTAGAATCTGAACTCAGCATGCTGATCCCTCTTCTATGCCGATATAGAAAAGCAGATAAATATTACAGTATTACGAAGATATGTGAAAGTTTAAACAATAATAATTGTTCATTTTTTTTATCATGCATTATAGATGTTATTGGTAAATATAAAAGTTCTTATAAAATCAGATCATATTAAATTAAATCTTACCTGGATACTGACGACTCTTGGGAGCATTTGTCGAGATGTAGCCCCTCCTTCAAAAGCCAATCCAAGAGTTGGCATTGTCTTGTAGATAATAACTTCTTGTAGTGGGATATTCCCATACTTTTTCCGCAGACGTTTTTCTTTTTCTTCCTGAAAAAACCCCCAAAAAACAAAAAAAAAAACAAAACAAAGAGGAATAAATACAATATAAACCTAAGAAGGTTTTGCATAATGATACAACTTACTAAAGTAGTTATGGTCTGAGACGAGCTTTTTTATGCGATGTCCCATTAGGACGTTGGCGGCCATGATTTCCTACAAATTTATTACCTGCGAATTGCCATATATTGTTGGGAAAGAGAGTAGAGTGCATTCCTGTTGCCATCCCCCATTGTTTTCCTTCTCTTAGACTGGTTGTCATCCAAATCTAGTAGTTCCAGTCTACTGTACTATTTAACTCATGGCTGGTGTTGGGGAAGAAGAGACTGATTCCCCCACCCCAAGGGCATTAGTGAGAAAGTGAACTCACTAAACTATCCCGGAATTTGAACTTGGCTCGCCGACGCCATTTCCCTCACTAATAGCCCTTACATTAACTGCACATCCATGAAATTAACTTACTGACCACTGTTCCATGTGAAAGCACACTTATTGATATTTAGTAAAATTAGTAGGGTACAAGGCTACACGATTGGAGCACTCTGTCAGGATCAGGCCCGCTATAAAAATGTTTTGCTTACTAAACACCATGATGAGGCACTCCATTGTTTTAGTTTTATCTTTGATATACTTTTTGATTTTGTTGTCTGGGTTCATCTCCCTCCCCCGTCATTTCATGTTTCATGAATTTTTTATAAAGAGACTTTATGAACATCATAATAACATTTATAAAGAGACTTTATGAACATCATAAATTTTTATATCAGGGAGTGTTTTGTAGGTCCTTTGTAAATATGTGGTATTGTGGTACATGTAGAATTAGGAGGTGATGGACAAGTTCTTGTGGTGACTGAGCATATTGTATTGAAGGAATGGATTTTGATTGTGATTAACTAGGACTAGGATAGTCAGTGAAGACCAGCCTTTCCCTACGTCCTCTTCGGCCTTGTGCCACGATTTTGTATTTTTTACAAAATAAATATTCTCCATTGCTGATATTACTGAAATAATACTAATAAAAAGAACTTTAATGTTGACTAGTTTTTAATTATTTTTTTATCGCGGCATTTTAACCGATACAGGTCTTGGCTGTTAAAATAGCAGAAGTTTGGAACAAAGTAATATCTATTGACGAGATTTAAACTTGTTTTGCAAGATGACGGCTTACCATTAGACTAATAAAACTTACGTAGTTTGTAAGGGTTTTCATCTGTAGTCATTTTAACATCTCTTTCCTATTTTTTACACTATGTTACCTTATTATTTACTATAGTCGTAATAGTTTCACGTTATTTCGAGATTGAATATAAAGCGGAATAAAGTAATTTTCAACGAATGATGAGCTCTGGAATATGGAATGTGAGTTTGAATTTCGTTGGAAGCTATTTAACAGACGAATAATGAATTCTTTAAAAAGGTTTTGATAAAAAGTTTAACCACCATACTGTCCTTAAAATATTACCTTAACTATAGTCGCGGGTTACTGATGAGAATCGAACTCACTACACCGAGGAAGTAGTCTATGCAACCAAATTATTAACTATTGAATCACAGTTAGTGTTCTTAAATATTCGCTCAGTTTAACTTACATTGGCATAAGGCCACAAGAGCTCCTGAGTGTCGAGCTCTATTTGTTGCCTTATAAATTTCTGTCTTCTTGTAACACCTCCTTGCAACAGGGTCACATCCTTGGTCGCTGGCACCAAATAATGTAACATCTTTCGCCGCCGCCTACACTCGGTGGTGTAACCACGTCTAGTGGTCCGGTCCTCAGGATCTTAGGATGACGCTGGTCTGAACTGGTTGTTAGTCGCTGGCCGCTTCGATCCACACCGTCTCTGCCCGCGTTGTGTCCTTGGTCTCACAGCAGTGGAAGATCGAAGGTCATAGTCTCACAGCGCTGGTCAAGCCGTGGCGGATGCTATATTAAGGAAAAATATCTTCACGACGAAAAAAATATAACGAGAAATTCGGGGGGTTAATCTTCAGTTGGTTTATATAGCTTTTGGTACAACAAAAATTAACCTTTCCCGCATCAATCTCTCTAGTGACACTGGACTTTGTCTAAACTTCTGGAAGGCTGGTTTCAAAATCTTGGAATCAGGAATTCTGGTGGCAGCTGACATGGATTCCAGAAGCACTTGATGCGGCTTTTCAGCCCAAATCTTCGAGCTCCTCAAAGTCATCTGCTTATATGCACTTCGGCCTAAAACTTTCACAGGGCCGAAGGGTTCTAGGGGGATGAGAGTTTTCTTTGTTTCCTATTTTTACATTTTTAATCAACTTTCCAAAGTTGGAAAATTATCCACTTTCCCTGGGAGCAGTCACAGAGATTGCTTTTCCCTTAACTCCCACCTGCTTCACATCAAATCTCTCACCACTACTCTGCACAGGTAGAGCTAAACTTTGCCCCTTCCTCCTTCCTTCTCGGTATTCTAACTCTGCCCACTTCTTAGGGCGTATAACTGTTTTTGTGACAAATCTAATTTTTAAAATGAGAAAGGGCGTGGTTTATTCTCCTCATTAATTTTAATTTTTCGAATCTTTTCGCACAAACCAGAACACCTTCTTGGCACGACATTATTGATCTTCATAACCTCAACCCTAAGAAAAAGGGTTCGTTCTCTGTTTTCGTCAACAAAAAATATTTATTTCCTTAATTTAGCAAGAAAGAGATAAAGCCATTTTTCGTTCGCATGCCAGACTTCCGATAGATAAGAAAAATAAACTTTTAGGAGAGAAGAAATCCACACATCCCATTCTCACCGAGAAAAATATCTCCATCTCCACTCTCTTTCTTTCTCTCTCTCTCTCTCTATATATATATATGTGAAAAGTTTGTGTATATAAATATAAATAAGTTTGTCTGACGATCGCAAAAGCGTGAAACCCAGGGTCACAAACTCACATCAATCCAACCAAATATATATATATATATATATATATATATATATATATATATATAATCTTCCAGCCTATATTTCATTTTGGGTTAAATTTCCTTTTTCTGCTTAGAATTTATGTTTAACCGGCTCACTGTCACATGTGGCGTTTTTCGACTTGCAAGCTAAACGCACAATGACAATTCAATTCTGATTTTATACACAATTAAAATGTCATGGGATTTAAGCGTAGTGCCTGAATAAGTGGGCCCACGTTTTAACGAAGGGGAAAAATGGTTCGTGCGTAAAAAATAAGTAAATGAGATAAAAAAAAAAATGCTGCTGATTTTTATGAATTACGACGCACAGAAAATTACTTGTGCACACCCATCGTTTCTTAAAAATATATAATTACAGTTTATCACCACTCTCTATTTTTTCTAAGTAAAAAATAGTATGTCTATATTTCTGAGATAAGGTATTATGTACATTATTTACATTATTCGGACTATTTCAAAGAAGAAGGTCGGAGCGTACAACGGCCGAAACGTTGTGATAAATATGGCAACAAAGATGGGGACAATAGTCCGAATAATGTAAATAATGTAAAAATTAGTCTTATAAAAAGAAAATGACGACGACAAAAATAGCAGGAGAAGAAATAGAAACAAGATGGCGATTTATTAAGGTGGTACAGGAACTGTAAAAACCAAAATTACGTTTGGAGATATTCACAGTTATTAAAAACCTAAGTATATATACATTTCTGTAGACATTGCAAATATACCCACACATTAGTTCAGTGATTCTCAACCGCAGGGCCGCGCCATACTAGTGTGCCGCGAAATATTGTCACTGTATACATATTGTGTGTATGTGTGTGTGTCTGTGTATGTGTGGAATTACTAATGCTACAGCGTTAGTATTTGAATAAATGGATAAGTATTAAACATTTTTTCAAATAATTCTTTTCACTATTCATCGATTATGTTATTTTAAATACTTTGTTTTAATATTCATTTTAAAAAAGTATTTTATTATTTAAGGGCTCAAAATAAAACATTCGACGGTACCCATTGATACATTTTAGATTTCAATACAAAAAGAATATCCTCCATTAGGTAAAAATGTTTTATCAGTTTTATTGCAATTTTCTAATTCTTATTAGTGTGAATTAGGCTTCTCAACCCTAAATAACATGAAAAATAAGAAGTGAGAAAGACTATGCTTAACTGATGAAACACGAGGATCTGCTGATCGCGCATTTGAGAAAACATTGAAGAAATTGCGAAAAGTCACTAGACACAGGTTTCACACTGAATAAGCAGTACAAATAGTTGAATAGAAACATTGAAATAAAGTAAGTTCATATTTGCATGTAGATTTTTTAAAAAATCTATATTTTTATTTCATGACATTTAGATGTATACCCTTTAAAATTTTTGCTATGTGTGCTGTGATATTTTTATTTGCGCCTAGGTGTGCTGTTACTTAAAAAGGTTGAGTAACACTGCATTAGTTACTAACTACAATATTTTTTCATCTGGTTGAATAATTTTATAAATAAGAATAAACGTTATAAAACAGGTGTGGCCAAACTTGCTTAATCTGAGAGCCACATACAATAAAGTTCAGATGTTTGAGAACTGCAAAACATGAAATTAGAATTTAAATTCTTAAATATTTTTTACTAACAATGGACATTAAACTTACATTTTAATCCAATGGGGCCTCAATTCATGCACAGTAAATAATTATAAAGCTTGAAATACTACTGCAAGTTACGATGAACAGATATCTCCTCGGAGAGGCACTGTGCCTTGAGAGACTATCGGGCCTTAAACTCACACCTGATCTATAATTTTTATATTAACTGTGATGAAAAAAAAAGATCTCAACCAACATATATCCAAGAGCCGCATACTAAAGGTCAAATACCTACATGTGGCTGTTATATTAGGTTGTCCCAAAAGTTCGTAAACACTTGCGAAAAATTGAATTTTTATGCAACACAATCCAGCACAATCGAGACAAGCGATGGGTTCAGAAAGGACAAGAGACACCGTTGGTTCTAAAACAAGATCGATTCGGCAAGAAAGTCATGTTGTG